GGGTGGGCAAAATGCAATCCTGAGGTTGTTCCTGGACTGTGACTTCCATCAGCTCTTAAGCAGAACCAATGGTAAGGAGCACTGGGAGCTGCAGTGCAACAATAACCAAAAGCTGCCCACCCGTTTTGGTGTACAAGACAGACGCAATGCACACAGCCAAAGCAAACACAAACCCACAGCAGTAGGCTAAGAGAGGCCAGGACCACTGCTTCTACTGCACAGAAGCACTAGCTGGGACCCACCAAAGACCAACCAGCATCCCACATTTTGGGGTCAGAACACCACACACTGCTTGGACAGTTTCACATTCCTCCCACTCCCAAGGCGGCAGCTTCCCAGCACCTGCATTATGCTGCCACGGCTGTTTACTGACGGGGGGTAAGGAAATGTCCCAGACAGCAACCCGCTGCAATCTGCGGTCAGAGGAAGAGCATGGAAGACCCCCCGACCTCCAGCCATGACACTGAATCTAGGAAGGTGATCTCAGCTCCCTCCTTCCAGCCACAGAACTATTTTCCCTACTTCCTGTATCAAAATGTGTATAGTTCACACTCTGCCAAGAGATCTCAGGGCCGTATATGTTGCACCTGGGTGCCTCCTGAATGGCTGAGGCAGCGGGCTTTTGGCGCTTGGAAGCCACTGAGGTTGGGGAGTGGATGCTGCACAAGGAGGAGCTGGATACCTCCTTGTGCTCCAAATAAAAAAGGAGAGAGATGGGCATCACCCAGGACTGTGGCCAATGGTTCTTCCTGAAGGGTGTCTGGGGTCAGTGACAGCATCCAAGGGATGTGGTCCATGCCTGAACAGGCGGAGAGGGACAGGATTCAAGGTGCAAAAGGGGGCGATTAAACTGAGTTGAGGAGGAGGATTGCGTGACCCCAGCAAGAGCAGAGCAAACAGCATTGGCTACTAGTTTGGGGGCACTGGAGGGAGGGCACCAGATGGAACACAACATGGAAGTGACTTTTGAGAATTCTCAGAGATGGGCAACCAGGGCACAAGCAGCAAAGGATTTCCTTTGGGGAGAGGAAAATAGAGGGCACAAATCACTGTGGGCCAAAGTAGGTCAGCGGAGGGTACAGGATGGTCAAGCAAAGCTGGGGTGCAAAGGACAGTACCCTAGATACACAGACCATCCCGCTTTCCTGCAGCAGCTGCCCAACAGGATGGGACAGGCACCATGGGATGGCACCACTTCCAGAAAAGGGCTGGGGGGAAAGCTTCCCGTCTTCTGCCCGACTCGGTCTCCCGGCCACCCACTCCCACCAATGTACCTGCTGTGATCCAGGGCAGAGAGTAGGCCGTTGTGACTCCAGGGGTAGTTGGGCGGGTGCAGCTCCAGCTCGCCGGCACTCACTGCGGTGTGGAGGGCCAAGGCCAGGCCGGCCCCTCCTGCCGTCAGGACACCCAGCGCCGTCAGGGCCACTTTCTTGCCTCGCGAGAGACCTGCCAGGGATGCCATGTTGGCCTGTGGGATGAGGAACAGCATCAACACCAGATGAAGAGGAGCCAGTGGGCAAAGGCGGGTGAGTGGCTGTGGTCTGCGATGGTACAGGGCTCCTCCTTTGTCTGTCCCCCCAGCGGTGAAATGCCCACCCTTGGAAGCCCAATTGGTACTGATGTCAGTTTAATTCTGGTGCCAGATTAGCCAAAGTGATTTCACCCAAACACAGGGTTGTAGATGGTTTAGCTTTTTAAAATATTCCACTGGATAGTATGCTTTTGGAGTGTTTACATTATTTTTATCCTTTTGAATTTTAAATATCTGAAGCTGATTTTACTTGAAGCCAACCAGAAGTCTTATATTCCAGGATGACATGTAAATACTGTAATAACAAAGATGTTGGGGATGCAGAGGAACACGCTTTTGGCCAGAATCGTCCGACTGCCTCCCCAATGGCAGCTCTGCTGTTCCTAGGAAGATGCCTCAGACCAAGGAAAGGGTGGGGTACCCCCAAGTACACCCCTCAAGGCCTTACAGCCCCCAGAAGCTGCAAGTTCTTAATGCAAGACCCCAATGTAAAGAACAGGCTGCTCCTCTGCCTACATAAAACCCCACAAGTGGGCTTATAAATCTGTCTAGAACACTGTTCCAATCCATGCCTCTGGGCTACAGAGGCTCAGGAGGCACCCACGATCCAAGACACCCCCTGCAGCCCCCCCTCTGCCCAGCAGCATTCCAGATAGACTTCTAAGCCCACCAAGTGGATCTGCTTGTGGATCTCCAGAGGAATCCCAGAAGGAAGTGCAGGTCAGAAACAGGAAAACTCTCGGTCTGGGATGGGAATTACCAAGCCCTCCAGCTGAAGATGCATTGCAATCCTCGGCCTTCTGGGCCACTGGTTATGATGGTTTGGGCCGACGAGAATTGCGGTCCAACTACATCTGAAGGGCTGCATGATTTAATAAACCATGACAAGGAAGGGGAGAAGAGAAGAGATCCTGAGCTCACGTGACCCCAATTCCCTGAGTGCAATTTGAGGTCGTGCACCAGGAAAAGGAAGAAATGGCACGGCTCAAATGCAGCATCCTCTCTCTCCTTGGGAAGCACAACCGAGGAGCCCCATCCAGGATTCTGGATGACTTTGGGCAGGCATAAAAGGGCCAACCCCTTCTGCCATGCAGGAATATGCAGCTGAAGCACTTGAGAAATGGCTACCCAACCTCCAAAGGCTTTAAATTAAACCTCCCAAGATTGAGTCACCACCCTTTAAGGCAGAATTGCAGAACCACAAGGGCTGAAAGGGACTGCAAGGGCCATCTACTCCAATCCCATTCTGCCATGCAGGAAGACACGCTCTTGACTTGAGAGATGCCCATCCAATCTCTGTTAAAGGCCTCCAAAGATGGAGAGGCCACTTCCCTCCAAGACAATCAATCAATTTCATAGCTCTTAGAAGTAAAAGTCCTTCCTGACGTTTAGGAGGAATCAGTCTTGCAAACTGAATCCTTTGCTCCATGTCCTAGTCTCTGGAGCAACAGAAAAGAAGCTCACTGCATCCTCCCAAATATTTAAAGATGGTTCTATCAGATGAGCTCTCAGTGTTCTCTAAGCTCCCAAAAACATTCCTTTCCATACCTGTGACCCTCTTGGTCACCTTTCTCTGGGCATGCTCCAGATTGTCAACAATCCTTCTTGTACTGTGGTGCCCAGAAGAAGAAGCAGGACTCTAGCTGGGCCATGGCTGAAGGAGAGGAGGCTGTGGGTTCGAATCCCTACTCAGCTGCATTGCGTGCTGCCAGAGGAAGCCCCTTTCTCCCAGCTAAACAGTCCTCCCAGGGCTGAAGCTCTTCTTGGCTCCTCCTGGTTGGAAAGGCAGGAAGCAAGACTGGGAGAGCCAGGCGGACAAGGCAGCGCCTCTGCTCTTATGAAAGGGAGCTCCTCTGCTGTTATGAAACCCTCCCAGCACCAGGAAAACAATCTCACATCCAAGGGCTCAAATTGGGAGAGAGAGCTGGTGGTCTTTCTTTGCAATGGCACTTTCTCAAGCCAGTGGATTAGGCGCTGGGTGAGGAGGGGTCCTTTGCATGTTCAGCCCCTTCCTCAATGAAGAAAATCATGTGAAGGGAAAGAAAGGTGGCCATCTCCCAGGGCCTGGCCACAGTTCCCTCCTCCCTTCACAGGGAGACGCTCCAAAGAGGAAAGTGGGGCACTGGCTGCTGTTGTGGGCCTTCAAGTCATTCCCCACTTAGGGTGACCCTAAGGCTGGGGTAGGCAACCTTTCCCCTTTAAGGGCCGAGGGACTTCAGCTCCCAGAAGCCTCAGCCATGTTGGCCAACAGCTCCTGGGATTCTGGGATCTGAAGTCCCTCAGCCCTTAAAGGGGAAAGGTTGCCTACCCCTGCCCTAAGGTGACACTGTCATGGAGTTTCCTTGGCAAGATTTGTTCTAAAGAGCTTTGCCTTTGCCTTCCCCTGAGGCTGAGAGCGTGTGACTTGCCCAAGGTAACCCAGTGGGTCTCATGGCTGAGCTGGGACTCGAACGCATGTCTCCAGCGACAGTCAACCCACTACGCCATGCCGAAACCAGCAAGCAAACTCGGGGAAACTCAAGGTGCCAGCACCAACAGTAATAACAACTGCCATAGATAACAATTGTTTAATTTCAGAAAGGGAGACTGCTTGGAGCATGCCATAATATCTGGCAAGACCTCCCTGATTCCTGAATTCTTGGATGGAATCTGATCCGCTGAGGGTCCAAAACTCCAGTCAGCAACACTTCGTAGTAGACTGTGAAGCCGCCATCGCCACCGCCATCAACAACAACAGTAACAACAACATCTACAGTGGCTCCTCCACATTCGCTGGGGTTTAGGGGCACAGGAGCCCTGTGAAAACTGCAAAAACACTTATGCATCTCAGGAAGTAGGCTGAAGCCTAGGACAGCTCCTGCTGCCAACTTCTTTCCTTCAGTGAGTCTCAAAGGATCTCTCTGCATACTGAGACGAACACGGCTATATCTTTGCAAAACCGCTGTTTCTTTTTACCTGGCAGCACACCTCTCTAGGAATCTCTAGGTCCTCCAATGCAAGTCCATGGTCAGCACCTGCCAGAAACTGACTGCAGAACTGCACTGGAGGACCTACAAGTGCCTAGAGAAGTGTCCTCTCTAGGTCCTCCAGCGCAACTTCTGGCAGACCTTGAGGACAGAGTGGCTCTGGAGGACCTGGAGATTCCTTGGGAAAACTCACCAATCAAATCTGTGAATAACCAAACCCACAAAAGTCCAATCTGCAAATGAATGTTGGGAGCCGTCTGCATATCCCAGGGGTAGGCAACCTTTTTTCCCCTTTAAGGGCCAAGGAGGGACTTCAGCTCCCAGAATCCCAGGAGCTATTGGCCAGCATGGGACTATTATAGGCCAACATGGCTGAGGCTTCTGGGAGCTGAAGTCCCTCCTTGGCCCTTAAAGGGGAAAAAAGGTTGCCTACCCCTGGACTAAAGGGTGCCATGCCAAGCCAAGCCATGCCATGCCATGCCCCCTCCCTCCACTCCAGCAGAGCCAGTGTGGCCTAGTGGTCTGAGCGCTGGACTAGGACTCTTGGAGGACCAGGGTTCAGTTCCCAGCTTGGCCATGAAATCCTATGTGGGTGACCTTGGGCAGGGGACACTCTCTCAGCTTCAGGGGAAGGCAATGGCAACTCCCCCCCCCCCCTTGAAGAAACTGGCCAAGAAAACCCCATGATAGACCTTTCTTAGGGTCGCCCTAAGTTGGCCATGACTTGAAAGCGGAAAGCAACAACAAAATACACAAACACACAAAATGAGAGAGAGAGAGGCTTGAGTGTTGGACTAATTCTCTGGAGATCCAGGGTTCGAATCCTGGCTCAACCATGGAAACCCACTGGGTGACCTTGGGCAAGTCACACTTTCTCAGCCTCAGAGGACGGCAACGGCAAACCTCCTCTGAAGAAACTGGCCCCAAGTCTTAGGGTCAAAAACGACTTGAAATGGTTCACGTGTTGGGACTAGGTCTCTGGAGATCTAGGGTTTGAATCCCAACTCAGCCCTGAAACCTACTGGGTGACCTTGGGAGCGAGTCACACTTTCTCAGCCTCAGGGGGAAGGCAATAGAAGGCAAACCAAAGCCTTTGGTTCCGAAGGGGGCCTTGAGCGGCGAGTCACACTCTCTCAGCCTCCTCAGGAGAGCCTCGTGATAGGGGTCGCCACGAAACCCGCTGGGTGACCTCGCGCAGGTCACACTCTCTCAGCCTCCTCAGGGGAGGGCCAGGGCACACCCGCTCGGGACCACAAACACCTCGGCGAGGAAAGCCCGGGGCAGTCAGAGACGACGCGAAGGCACACTCTCTCAGCCTCCTCGGGGGAGGGAACACCGGAAGGGTCCCTGGGGGCCGCCCTGGAGGAGTGACCCCGCCGGGGAACGCGGTGACCTTGGCCCTGGAGGAGGAGGAAGGAGGCGGCGGCGGCGGCCGGGAGGCAGGCCTTCCTTCCTCTCGGCGAAGGGTGCGCCTCTTACCTTCGGCCCGGGGCCGCCGGAAGCAGGAAGAGGAGACGGGGACAGGAAGCGGGAGGCCCGCGAACGAGCCAGGCTCCGCGCCGACGCCGCCACTGCCACCGCCGCCGCCATCTTGGAGGGGAGGGGAAAGGGAAGCCACGCCCCCGGGGCCCACAAGGCACCGCGCCGGAAGGAGGGAGGGCGGGGAGCCATAGAGCGCGAGGGAGGGAAAGGGCTAGAGCGGCGCCATCGTCACTTCCGGGCTCAAAACTAGATAGATATTGAATAGAAATAGATATTGAATAGAGATAGATATTGAATAGAAATAGATAGATATTGAATAAATTAGATATGTATAGATATTGAATAGAAATAGATATCGAATAAGATATATAGATAGATAGATATTGAATAAACTAGATATGTATAGATATTGAATAGAAATTAATATCGAATAAATTAGATAGATAAACATAAACACATAGAGATAGAAAAAAAGCAAGATAGATGGATGATAGAGATAATAGATATAGATAGCTAGATAGATATTGAATAGAAAGATGAATAAATTAGACAAGACAGATAGGGTGACCGGACACGTCCTCCTTTCGCAGGACACGTCCTACATTTCAACGGTCAGCTCCAGGTCACAACAAACTACCATTCCCAGAATGCCATAGCCTGGAGACAAGGCAGGGAAAGCCGTATCAAACCAAATTTGGGCAAGGTATTGGAGCATGTGGAAGCTTCTGGGCGAGACCAGTTATCTAGATCCATTTCAGTCTGGCTATGGGACAGAGAGCATTGGTCACTTTGGTGGATGACCTTCCTAGGGAACCGGACAAGAGCAGCAGTGTCCCTGTCAGTCCTGCCAGACCTCTCAGCGGCTTTCGATACCATTGACCGTGGTCTCCTTCTGGGCCGCCTCTTTGGGATGGGACTCGGGGTCACTGTGATGCAGTGGTTCTGATCATTTTTGGAGGGGCGGATTCAGAAGGTGGTGCTGGGGGATCCCTGATCAGTGCTTTTGGCCTGGGGAGGGGTCCCTTGGGGTTCACTTCAGCCCCCCTTGCTATTCAACATATGCATGGGCTAGACAAAGTAACTGTTACTTGGATTTGTAATTGGTTGACTG